TGCACTTAATATGCAAAACATGGGATTGCAATTAAAACACCTATGGTTCTTTTAAGATTTGTGATCAGTGATATAATTCTCCATCCAATGTCCAATTAATCTCAATTTGCATATTAATTTCGGTCTCACCTGATGAAAGTGCTGCTTTAGTCTTCATGTATAAGTCCTCTTGGAGCGAAAAATAAATCCTCTAGAAATCAATTTCCGTTGATTAATATATAAATTATGATCAAGCATGTTATTTTGATGTATAAATGAATTTGTCAAACATCCTAATGTTTTGCTTTCACAGAGGACACATGTTGCATTTGTGTTAGGTCATTACTAAAAGTCCACAACTGTTTTAAACACGTACTACCATTCTCAGGGATCAGGATTAAAACAGGCTTAGGGTCTTATGTTTTTTTAAGTGGTATTTTAATTTATATATTCAACCTTTATTTAACCAGGAAGTCCCTTGTGATTAAATTCTAGTTTTCAAGGGAGACCTGACCAAAATAGCACATCATTTCAAAGTTATAGTGTGATGTTACAACACAGGCCATTACTGAAGTACAATATTAATATAAAAGATGACATGATGTCCTGTATTTATCCGATAAAGGTCAGCTACTGTACTCAGATTTGGGGATAAGGTCCTAGTATTAACTCAAAGATCATTACTGCAGAGCAGCCGCAGCACCAGAAGGGATTACTCTAGTGGGACGTCATCTTATTATTCAAACAAAAGGGATGGGTAATGTTCCAGTCTTTTCACAGTGCATAACAGCCCTTAAACAAATACTGCCCCAACATAAATTGCCCTTTTTACTTGAGAGCAGCAGCATGGATAAAGAGACCCCAGCATGAGCGCGGTATTTACAATCATCCCTGCTGAGGTTTCCTTTAGAATAATCCAACCAGGAGCTGTAGCTGACCATGAACTCTGATCTCTGATTGGCGAGAAGCTATGTGGAGAGATCAATACAATAACTGTTGTGAAAAATTGCATAGGCAGAATTTATATGTGAAACAGTTCTATAAAAAGTGTAAGGATGTGTAATTATAGAATCCTTATAGTGAAAAATCTGAACAAACTGAAAGCACAAGTAAAAAAAAAAAAAAGAAATCTCGTAAACATGAGTCTGTATAGAAATTGAATCAATCCAAAGGTCATTCCTAAGTATTTACTCAGATATTCAAGTCTGTATTTTCACATAAAGGACATTGTCTCTCCTCTCTAAGCTTTAAGCTATAGTAAATCCTATGTATCCGCATTATTACATCAGACTGCCTCTATATTTATCTTGTATAGTTTGTCTGCTATAGCAAATGGTCACAGTTAGATGACTACAATTTATAAAGTATTTAAGCTGAATGTTAAGTCTCGGGCTGTTGTTATTTAGACAATAGCAACTCCAGGGATTAGCGCTGTCGTTCTCATATTGGTTATCCTGCGCCCTCTGACTCAATGAGAATGGAGGTCATGCATCTCTTAACACTGAATCATACGTCTGCCGGAGAGTAATATTGATTTATTTTATCTTTGAGGGTGCAGAGGTAATAGTGAAGATCAGCTTCATTCAGGCAGAAAACGCAGTGACGGGGACACAGTGGCGGTCGTATATTAGAGCACATCACGGGCAGCTTTTGGAGATTTAATGTACAATAACTTCAGGTGTATAGCGCCATTAAATCAACTGACCCACTTATAAAAGCTCTAGCGAGTGCAAGTGGCAGAGGCCGTCCCTGCGCCTGTGCTTCCACTGGGCATGTAAAATGTACATTAGCCACAAGAGAGACAGTTCCAGTTCACTCTTACGCAACCACTTATCTTCCATCCCTCATTCACTTTGAATCGTGCATCCCACTAAAAACCTGCCCCCCTAAGGTCTGTTCCATATTGAGCAGCAAGATGTCATGTTCAACTTCTGTCTAGCACTGAGCGATGTTGTTTCCTTGCAGCATTATTAGCATATTCCAGGAATACTGTAGCCTACCTGTAGTAATATCCACCCGGTGAGGAGGGAATTTCCAAGCCACACGTCTGCCATTAAAAGTTCAAGCTGATGAGGTTTACTGTCATTATCAAAACAGCACTAATATGCTTACTCCCCCCTCCCCAAGCAATCACTGTTTGTGGATCATTCTGGTCTGGTGGGGCTCAGTGCAATTCTTTGTGCAGTGTGCTCAGCGGTAAAATAAGTCCACTGTGATCTTTCAGGTGAAAGCTGTGCAGAGAAAAGGTATATTCACACGCACGACTTCAGTTTAAACAGTAGAATAATTATTACTTACCAAAGCGAATGCTTTTTAAAAATGCACATTTGAAATAATCCAGCACCTTCACTGCTCATGCTTAACAAACTGGTGCCTACTGCTGTGACAGTGTTCATGTTTTCTGCCAGTCATCTAGTTGTTGTGAGGGAGGAACAACCACAATCTAGTCATTATTCAACCATTGAACACAATGACAAAGAAAAGGAAAAGATCAGAATTCCTTGGCTCTGAAAACATCACCACTCATGTTGACTGTTGGTGTCATTACCACTAAGTATGTTTAAAACCTGACTTAGTGATAACAGACACTTCAGGGCTGGGGAGTAGTGTCTACGGCAGGGAAACTTAATATTAATACCTCAGCCTGTCAGCAAGATTACACAAAAACTACTGGATGGGCTACGAAGAAACTTGGAAGAAGAATGTGGTGGGTCAGGGAAGAACCCAATAAAAGTTTGTTGTGGATCCGGATCAGGGAGCCGATCCAGGAATCTTATTCTTTTGTTCTTCAATATTTTCATTGATATCTCAGAGAACAATTAATGGATCGTGGTGTAATATTTATAAGTATGTTCAATTTGGTGCAGACCCAAATAAAAATCTGGATCTAGTAAATTTTAATGTGGTTTCATAAGGGGACTGTTGGGCCTTGACGGAGGTATGAGATCCATGAGTGCCAATCTAGTAAGATTAATGTTCAAATAATAATTAATTCCTCAGTGGTCAGTCTGTGTGTGGTTAAAAACACCATGGAAACTACGTGGTCACATTTTAATTGCAATAGGATTATTATATTTCTCTTCTGCCCTCGCTTCATGTTTGAGGTGACAACAGGACAAGCAGAGCAGTGTATAAATCGTTTTTCTGCAGCAGCGGCTCCTTTTGGGGGATCCTGAGTATCTGTCCTGCCAGCTGGAACCCCCTCCAGCATGCCTCTCCAGTGTCCTGGGCCCTACCCCAGGCTGTCCTCTCAGTCAGCCGTAACAGGTATACATTCAAAGCGATGCACATGAGGGGATGGCATCCCAACCAGGTGCCTGACAACCTCAGCTGGCTCCTCTGAATGCAGAGGAGTGGGAGCTTAGCTCTGAAGCCCTCTGGATTGCCTGGCTCGTCACTGTGTCACAGATATCGTGCTCGGCCAGCGTGAGAATGAAACTCATTTTGGCTGCTTGAATCCATAATCGTATTCCTCTGGTCACTAAAATGCTCTTGGCTGTAGGTAAAGGTAAAAAAATTCAATTAAAAAAAGGACAATTTTGGTTTTGCATCTAAGTGTTGTGATTAGACCCTGACTTTATGCAGCCACTTGAAATAACCAGCAGATAAATCTATGACCCTTTGGTAAAAGGGAACTGGAGCTCGATATCATCTAAAATTTGGCAGCACAACGCTCCACTGCACAAAGCAAATCTGTCAAGCAAAAGGACAACATCATCTGTGAATAGAAATGCCATCATAATGTCACAGATCTGGATACTCTCAGACTTCAGCTCAGCTTTGAGCATAAAGTGCATCCAGGGGAAGACCAAATGTCTGACCAAAAAAAAATGCACTTCCACATTCTCATATTAGATTACATATATAATCGCCTCAACTCTTTTGGCAGCCGGAATATAAAAATAGTTGATGTAAATTAGTATTGTTAAGTCACACACGAGAAGTGACCATACTGTCCTCATAAATCCCAGTTCTAATGGGTTTAAAGCACATTAAGATGAGTATCAGTGTGTATTTTGTAGCTCACTTATAAAAAAAATGAAATCAAGGATTTCATCTTTATTTTTTTGCTTTTTATGTGACTCCTTGTTACATTATGATAAATTGTCACTGTGGCGTGTGAGTACTGGACAAAACATCTAAGACTCATTGAGAATCTGTGACATTTAAATCACAAGTAATAATGGGGGGGCTGTGGGGTGGTGCCTTAGCCGTCATAAAGATCACACTTAATGCCCTCATTCCAACATATTAGTTACCTGCAGTAACAGAATATAATGGTAAAAAGTTATGAATCTCTGATATTGAACATGATACAATGAGTTAGGACATTATTTGCTCCCCATGATTCATTAAACCAGTCCATCGAAGTGCAGCTTCCATAATGAAATCATATCATCTCTAGCACATTCCGTGATGTGAAATCCACAAAGTCATTTGTAAAAACATGACTTGTGTTTATAATTTTGCGTTACTTTCCATCAGCTGTGACTTAATCGATAATACTCCTCTTCTAAAAACATTAAGAAAATACTAAATTGATTTGAAAAGGGTATGCAGGGTGCAAAACAAATAGGCGAGCCGCTTCCGCAGTAAGGATCTATAACATAGATTTTTCTTTTCATCATTCTTTGCTCTTCATAATTGATCCAGCTCTTATTGCTGTATAGGGTCAGACCAGGGGACAGCTGGAGCTCACACTCATCGATGCAGCCTCTTCACTCATGGTTGCAATGTTCTCATGTGCTTCTTTTGTTTGGTCCTTTCCTCCCTTGGTGCTTTCCACCAAGCATCATGTGATCTCTGTTTCCTTCAATGTAAAATAGTTTATTTTCAAGCACAGCACAATACATGTTTTTCTTCAACATCATCCATCTGCACTATATGTCCCCCTTTACTTTACACTTATGTGGAGATGCATTGCCTCTATTCACTATATAAACATATTCTGTCCATGGTTCTGGATACATAGTGTGACTGGTTTTGTTTTCTTGCTGACATACATATTCAAAACAGTAAGGTGATGATGGTGGTTACATAAGATGGAAACTCGTAAAACTACTGGGATGCAAAATAACAGAATTTCTTTCGGTCAAATTTCAGATTTTGACTCTGGATATTCGAACTCTGTGAAAAAAAGAAAAGAAAGAAAAAGCGAAAAAAATAAACTTTCATCCTTGAGGCCAACTCACTCTCTGTTTGTATACGTCCTTGTGAAAGTTACGTTTCCTCAATAGAAATCCAGGAGGGAACATTCATATAATCCATTGACAGATAATCCAATGAAATCGTGCTGAAATATTAATTTGCTGTTTTGTCCGTGTAGGACCGTGGACAGAGGCGGAGTACAAGTAGTGGGCGGCAAAGAATGGTTAAAAAGATCTGAAGAGAATGAGGAAGGAAAGGGTTGTGTGAGTGTGGAGGTGGCAGGCGATAGATAAAGAGCTACAAAGCTGAAGAGCAAGAAAAATAATCCTGCTTCATGACACTATTACATTTTCACCCTCCATTAATCACTATTCAGAATAATGTATGAGTTACACACTCAAATTTCTAAGGACACTTCAGACGTATGTCAATGTCCCTCACTCATAATGATCTGGTCACATCTAGATAAATCTGCTTTAGGAGAAGTCACTGCTTCAAATATATAAGATTCATAAATGTTATAGCACCAATATTGCCAGCCAGTGGACTGAAAGCAAACCACTTGCATCTGCTTCTGTCGAGGACTGAAAATACTCAGGAATTGTCCATTAACTGAACGTAAAGACAGACATGTCAATCGATACGTTTCATCCTGTTTTTAAAACCAACTTACCGGAAAACACTTAAACACACCTGGATGTGATTAGAACGACCTTAAATGACAAAAATGGTAACACTTTACTTTAGGGAACACAATGTTAGCCACTAATACATGAGTAATAAGTGTATGTGTTAATGATCAATAAG